TTTCTTTCACCTGCTGCCTCTCTCTCTCTCTCTCTCTCTCTCTCTCTCTCTCTCTCTCTCTCTCTCTCTCTCTCTCTCTGTGTGTGTGTGTGTGTGTTCTTTTCTCTAGAGAAGAGTCCAGCTTATCTGCTAAAGTTTCCTCTTGGAAAGGAACATAGACTTACATTTTCCATTAAGAAACAAATTTTAAAGAGTAACAATGGCTCTGGCCTTTGGGAATATAAATTAGCAATTCTTTCTAAACTTTCATAGCACCACATGCCTGTAATTCCAGCTATCAGGAAGTGGAGTTAGGAGAATGAGAAGTTAAAAAACATTCTTGGGAACATTCTAAGTCTGAGGTCAATCTGGGCTACAAGTGACTCTGACTCAAAAATCCTACAAGGAAAATCCTGGAAACTGAGGATACGGCACAGTACTGAACAGGACGAGGGTCCCAGATTCCATTAGGTTCAGCATAGAGGAAACAACAGAAAATGGACAAGGACCAAGAAGAGAGAGATTCTCATTATAGCATGGGAACAGATGATCTGAAAGCAGCAATAAAGATGGTGAATCAATATCCAGTCCCAAAGCTCTCTACAGGGGTTATACGTAGGTGAACCAGTATCCAGTCCCAAAGCTCTCTACAGGGGTTATACGTAGGCAAAGTCTCTTTGAGGAGGTGAAAACAAGCCTTGAAGCCTGAATCTATAGGAAGAACATTCTTGGCAATGTGTGTGTGTCTACTCCTGTGTGTATGTGTGTCCTCTCTGTGTGTTCCTCTTTCTCTCCGTGTGTGTGTGTTGTGTGTTTGTGTGTGTGGCTCCCTTTCTTCCTGTACACACATGGATTGTTGTTGTTTCAAGGAAGAGATAGTGGAAACAATAGAAGTAAAAAGGCCCTTAATGACTTGGGGTGGAAGTGGAAGTTTCTGGATATGTCATGTGATACAGACTCTTGTGGTGTTTTGCTGAGGGAAGACAGGTGGGAGGACACGTGATGTTTGGAGAGAGTATAAATAGGACTCAGTGGACAGGGATGGGGCGCTTCCATAGCTAGCCTTGCAACACTTTGTTGGTCTCAAGTCTTTGATGATCTTTGCTTCCTTGAGAGAGGCACAGCAGAGAACTTCTCCTGGTGTCCTGCTTGCTCTCACTGACTTGTGCACATTCAGCAGAGACCTGGTGGTTTCTGCTGGATCATCCGACAGATGCTGGTTTGTTTTTGCTATCCTGACACTACTGACCTGGACTGCTGGTATCCTGGCAACAGAGACTGGAATCATTCCAAAGAACTACTTCTAAACAGGTCCACATCTCCTTGTCCTATTTACCATCTTGTCTCCCCTACCTTTGAATGGTAGGCTATAAGGGAGGGGGTATTGAAGCACTGAGAATGCTTACTAAAACTAGGCTTAAAAAATCTAAGCCTACATGGGGTAAATGATATGAAGGGGAAGGCACATTAAGAAAACCAAGTTCAGTACACAGGAAGTGCTTGAATGTGCTTCTGTGCAGTGATATTTTAGTGATCCCTGCATGTTCAGCATCAAGAATACTGAGTTGCGTTTAACAGTTGTGTTATAAATGAAATCAATAGGGGAGAAATTGAAAGGGAGGGGTTGCTGAATGTTTCTGAGAAAATGAACAATGACTTCGCAAATACAGAAGAGGCACCTCTGAGCCACAGAGAAGTTGAAAACACATGACTAAGTTTTCCAGAGCAGGTAGAAGAAGTAGCACCCCTCACCCCCAAATAGCTGAAGACTTTGCTGGAGAAGAGGAGGCTTTTTGATGAAAGATGGCTAGATGCAACCAGCTCAGACTTGCAAGGCCTGCAGTAGGTTTGTACACCCAGGCAAGGTTGGATACCACATAACCGTGGCAGTGGTAACAGCCGTGGCTGTGGGATGGTATAGATGTCTAGCAGGTAGCATCCCATGTGGGTGGCTCACAGGGGTACTGGAGGGTATCTTGAGGAAATGGACAGACTGACTAGGAGGTCAAGAGGGAGCTCAATGATGAGAAGAGAAGGGAGGGTGGGGCTGGAGAGATGGCTCAGCTGTTAAGAGCACTGGCTGCTCTTCCAGAGGTCCTGAGTTCAATTCCCAGCAACCTCATGGTGGCTTTCAGCCATTGGTAATGGGATCTGATGCCCCCTTCTGGTGTGTCCGAAGACAACGACAGTGGATATGTATAACTTAAATAGACAAGGGGAGAAGGGAGAGAGGTCACAAATCTCCAATGAGCCTAGAGCTAGAAGACTGGGAAGAAAGAGTGGGGAGAATTTCCTAGTGGAGAGATTTCCTAGTTCCTCTGTCGTCAGTCATGCACTGTGTAAACCAGAACACTTTACAATGCAACAACAGCTACCTGTTACTTCACAGATTCTCCCTGAAGAAAGGCTAAGACGATCCCGTCTTATTGAGGAGAAACTTTAGGCTTGCTGAAGTTAAACACACTGCTTACATTTTTCTGACTAGAAAAAGAGAGAGAGAGAGAGAGAGAGAGAGAGAGAGAGAGAGAGAGAGAGAGAGAGGGAGAGGGAGAGAGGGAGAGAGAGAGAGAGAGAGAAAAGAAGGAAGGGAGAAAAGAAACTGCATGTGGCCGGCCAGTAAGGCTTAAGCCCCACACTGATATAAATATTATTCTGGTTGTACAACAACATTTGACTCGTGCATCCTTTTCTTGTGGGCTGATAACCTGGGGCTAGTTCTGTCAACTCATTGGCCTTGCAGGATGAAGTCCAAATTTCCTACAGTGACTCAGGAGGTGGGTCAGAGTCCAAACCCACACTCTCCTCTGTGGACACAGACTCCCACACCAAGCGCTCCTGCTGGGTTCGACTGTTTTCAGTTCTCTGAATGCAGCGGGGCAGCTTTTGTGTTCAGGGCTGTCTGGGGGTTGGCATGTTCTTCCTCCGTTTCTCTTCCTGCCTAACTCCTTCAAGTCCATCAAAGCCGAGGGTCATGGTCACTTGAGTCCTTCTCCAAGCTGACGAAAATGAGAACACGGAGGCATCTTGTCTTTGCAGATCTCTATGGCACGTCTGATTGCACTGAACCGTGTGGAGCTGCTGACTGCTTGACCAGGGCTCCTTCCACAAGTCCATAGTTCCTGTTCGTCTGGGTTCGTGTTTCTTGTTTGCTTTTGAGACAAGGTCTCACTCTGTAACCCAGACTGGCCTCAAACTAGTGGCAATCGTCCCATGCCTGGCTAAATGAGGAATTGGACTTTTTTTTTCTTGCATTACTTGGAACTGCAATTGAACCTTCCCATGTTCCCATGTGTGATGCAGGTGATCTATTGTTGACCTGTATCTCCAGCCCTTATCATCTCGAAGGATCTAGAAAAAAAAGAAAGACAATGGTTTTGATAGTGTTGGTGATAGCTAGACGTTGGTTTCACCCTTATACCTCTGAAGCCAGATCTTATTCTTAGAGCATCTTCAGTCTCTGGTAAAGAGCAAAATGTACACGAAATTCTAAATGTAGTCAATAAATTAATATCTGTGGCTCTCAATGACCCATTTGCCATTTTTTAAAAACAAATTCTAATATTTTTATAAATACCAAACTGAACAATTCCACACTTGCTTTATATTAATTGTAATATCATTCAGTTAAGGGTAGTCATTCAGAGCCGAGACCAAGATTTCGCCTTCTCATTAGAAGATTGAGCACACATCTCTTGCTTCTATTTCTTTGTAGGTAAAATAGCAGCAAGAAGCAAAGACTCATAAGCTCTGGGGGGGCGGAGGGATTATCAAATAATAGCATATTGTGAAAATCCCCTTAAAAATTGTGACACATTCAAGGGGTGGACATATGGTGGTCGTATTCCGCAGGATGCTGCAGAAACTTTCTAGAATATGAACTGTGTTAGGTTCACCTGCAAATGCTCGTTTAGGGGGTCTACCGACATCACAACAGGAAAGTCCTGGCAGCAAGCTTCTAAGGAAGCAGGAACGAATCCTAGAGAAAAGAAGAGAAATGCACACCAATCTTCACAGGCTCTGCTTAAAAGATGAAAAATTAACCCGGCACGGTTGGGGGTGGAAGTGTGGATGGTGGTACTTGGACGCTGGGTCTTCAACGTCCGGACACTTTTCCTTCCCTAAAGCCATTTTAGTCAAAGGTCATGTGTGTGTCCTGTCAAAGGCCAGCTTCCAATGGAATCACTGTCCCCCGGGGATAGCGGGCCCCCTGACTCCATCTGCCTTGGAGAAATCCCAAAAGCAAACGGCCCAGCGCAAACAAGCGCAGTCAGGAGCCGCGGTGCCGGGCTCAGCTCCCAGGTCCCCGGGCCGTAGCTGTAGCCGAGGCTGTGTCTGCAGCGCCCTGGCTGGAGCGAGGCACCCGGACGCCGCAGCATGAGTCGCCACGCCGATCGGGTAGGGTAGGCAACCCCTCTCTGCGCGTGCTCCACGGCTTGGGGCTCCCGGGTCACAGCGGCTGCACGGTGCAGCCCGGGCAAACCCTGCAAAGGGGCCTCGGCAGCAGCCGGAAAAACGTCCGGGGTTGGGCTGCCTTCCCGTGCCCTCAGCTGGACCGGGTTCCAGGCTCACAAACGCGGAGCTAATTTTGAGTTGTGGTTGCCAGAGTCTGTTTGGCTTTGCAAATGCGTATCTCGTTTCTGGAAAACAAGCCAGTGAAAGCTGCAGAGGGGCTAGGGACGAGTCTCAGCTCAGCACAGCTCGAGCCTGTGGCGAGGGAGCGAGCCCCTTTGGCCAGGGGGCTGTGAGCTCTGTCCTCCTGGGACAGCCAGCCTCCCTGGCCTTCTTGTTTATGACTCCTTGGACAAGCGCTTGGCAAGGCTGGGGAACTTTAGAGCGATCTTTTTCAGTAGCGTTCTCTGTGCTCCTTCCTACATTTGCCTCAAGGAGACAGATCATTTTTCTGAGTGAGGAAAGCCCTTCCCTGCAGCCAGATCCCAGGAGCAAGCCTCTGCCCCTTTGTACTTTTTCATTTGAACAAGTCCTTCGGATGAACCAGGCTAATTTTGGTTAAGTATAGAGGGCCGGTTTCTCATCTGATCTCGGGTGCTTTTGGTCTGGACTTGAAGTCTCCTAGACACAGCAGATGGGCAGCAAGGAGGCGGTGGCTAAAGGGTTTCAGAGATCGCTGTGTTTCCACTCTGGTTTCATCTTAACAGGCTAAGCAGGGAGCCATTTCTCATTGATAAAGGGGCAGAAAACAAAAGCCCTTCTGGGATTTGTTTATGCCTCTAGCACACACCCAGTTCCACTGAACTAGGAGGTTTCCTGCATTGTATCAGGTGATTTCTGACTTCTGATCCTCTCCAGAGGACCAGCTCCCAGCTGCTATCCGGGAGTTTTCTCTTTCTTGAAAGAGTGAGTAACAAGATCTCACTATCCGTATTCCCTACTTGTCCCTTCATATGTAGTCAGGAGCCTTGGTCCACCACTCTGACGACCATCTTTTGTTGGGGCCGTCGAAAGTCACCAAGAACTGTAGAGAATTTGGAAGTCCTCTTCTTCAGGTTCCTGGGGCCATTTTGAATAGCTGGCTATTCCTTCCTTTGTATTTAGACTCTTAGAGTCTGTAATAACACACCTCCTTCTCTTCTGCCCTTCTGAGTCACTCATTAATGCCTTAAAGGGCCCCACTCCAGATCTTTCAGTGTGTCCCTCTGGTCTCTCCTCGACCCTCTTCCTTTGCCATCCAGTAAATTACATCATCTCATTCATTCCAACAGCTTCCAGCTACTGCAGACACACACAGTGTCTGGAGCATAGCCTTTCTCCTAAAATATCTCCAATTAGATGTTCCACAGAGCATCTTGAAGTCAAAATGTTCAAAACTGAATCTGTCTCCTCTGTTCTTCCTACTGCTCTGGTCTTCCACTGCTTGGATGACATCCTCATCATGCTAGACCCGAGGTGGCTTGTCCTTCATGCCGTGCCTTCCCGTCTCCCCATTGGATAAAGTTCCTACATGCATCTTCTTGTTTGTGTTATGTACATCTCTCCTTCATTGTTTGAGTTTAGACATTCTGGTCACAACCTCACGTTCATCTCATCTGGACCACTGCTGCCCAGTCTGTGCTTTTATCTATATTGGTTGTTTTTCTCATTGCTGCAGGATGGAGGATTACAGTTAGAAGGGGTAGTGTCCATTGTTTAATGAGCTGGCGTTGGGAGCATGAGGTGGTTGGTCAAATTGCATGTATCTGAAGTCAGGAAGACCAGGTTGGGGTTGCGGGGGGGACATCCCAGAGCTGAATACTGGATGTCAGCTATATTTTTCTTTTTACCACTTTCAGTCTGGGACCACATCCCGTGGGGATAGCGGTGCTTATATTCAGGGTGGGTCTGTGGTTCTGTCCTTTCTGGAGACACGCTCACAGACATCCACAGGTGTGCCTTTCAGGTGATCGTAAACTCAATCAATATCATCCCGTCACCTTATCTCCATCCTGTGTCAGGTATTCCTAAAGTGCAGTGTGGTCACAGACATGCTCTGTGAGATGTCGCCAGTGAATTTTTGTATTTTTCTCTTAAGAGTGATGGTGATAGGTACAGGTTATCTACAATTAACCTTTTCTTCTTAAATACACATTGGTAGTTTTCCTGCATGTATGTCTGTGAAGGTGCCAGGGCCCCTGGAATTAGAGCTACAGATAGTTGTGAGCTGTCATGTGGGTGCTGGGATTTGAACTCAGGTCCTCCAGGAGAGTAGCCAGTTCTCTTAAAACACTGAGCCACCTCTCCAGCCATCATGACTAGCCTTTTACATTGCTCATTGCTCTCCCCCGTACTCCCTAGCCGTATTTCATGAGTCATTTTGCACGTTTTACACACACTGTACACAAAGCAGACATAGTAAACTATCCCCTCTTGGGTCACCAGCCTCAGTTTTAAAATACGACTCAGCTGATAGCCACCTTTTCTTGGGAACTTCCCAAATCATCCACGCCTCTTCCAGAATGAATTATTAACCCTGCCCCGTTCTTCTCCCGCCTCCTTCTCTCCTACCATCCTTCCGATTCTTTATTGCAAAGTTCTAGTCATCTGCCCCCAGCAGGCAGTTCACAGACTGCTTTTGTCTCACTATTATTTCTGTCCTAGGATCTTTAGATCCTAATGTTCTCTGTCTCAATTGAGATGTTTCATGAATTCTTGTGATTGATTTTCCTTTCCTGTCTGTTCTTCCTGTCCACTTTCTCCCCTCCTCTTCCCTCCCCTCCCCTTCCTTCCCCTCTCCTCCTCTCACCTCCCCTTGCCTTCTCCCCTTCCCTTCCCTTCCCCTTTTCCCATCTCTCCCCGTCCCTTCCTTCCCTTTCCCTCCCCCTCCCTCCCCTTCCCTCCCCTCCCCACCTCTCCCCTTCTCTTCCCTCTCTTTCCCTCCCCTTCCCTCTCTTTTCACCTCTCTGGGTCTCATATATCCTAGAATGACTTCAGACTCACTATATAGATGATGAACTTCTGACCCTCCAGTCTCTCCTTCCTGACTCCTGCTATTTATTACAGGTTTGCATCATTACACTTAGTTTTATGTAATACTAGGGCTTCATGCTTGCTAAGCAAGCACTTTACCAACTGAGATATAGTCACTAGGCCAAGGATGCTTGTGAATTCATTTGAGGGAAAAAAAAACATAAAAACATGTGTGTGTGTTTGTGTGTATGTGTGTGTATATGTGTGTGTGTGTATGTGTGTGTGTGTATGTGTGTGTGTATGTGTGTATGTGTGTGTGTGTGTGTATGTGTGTGTATGTGTGTGTGTGTGTGTATGTGTGTGTATGTGTGTGTATGTGTGTGTGTGTGTGTGTGTACAGAACAACTTTGTGGAGTCCATTCTCTCCTGCTTTCTTAGGGGTCTGAGGCTTGAATTAACATCATCAGGCTTGTTTAGCAAGGAGTCATCTTGCCAGCAGCTGTTTTGTGGATTCATATGCAGGGGTTAAGAATGAGTATTCTGTTCAGGGATTGGATTAGAAAATGGAGATGTAAAAGTGAATGAGAAATTATTTCTGAACTACCATAGGGTAGAGAATAAAGATTCATTGTATTAGCAGGAAAAGTCACAGTCTTCCAATTATTTTTCAGCAGGCAGCGTTTAGAATTTCTGGATATTTGAGATAATGTTCCAAGTATAATCCACATCTGACTCTGGAGGCTTTTCCTGTCCCAGCATCTAGCCTATCTATCCCCAGGCAAGAAGGGCTTTTGTAGTTTTGCTTCTGTTGACTTTATGAAAGCAAAGGAATCCTCCTTGGACTGCAGCCAGCAGGAGAGAAGGACACGGAAAAAGAAGGTACCTGAGGCCTCTGAATGGTCAAGGAGAAAAATCTCCAAGAGCTCTCTAGGGAGTGATGGAGACCCTGAGAGACTACGAGAGAGAAAATGTGGTTCTGATTTTCCAGTGAGAGAACCATGCATTTGGAAACTCTGAGAGGTGACTAGTGATTGCATTCTATAGGGAGTTATTTAAACTTTAAGCTGTTCTTAAGCTCTGTGGGGCCATGGTTCTTCTGAGGTTTGGATGCACACTGCCCTTCTTAGAAAAAAAATTGTACAAAAGACTACACACAGCAAATTGAATAAACTTGTAGGGGGATTCATCCAAGTCTGTCCTTCAGTACTCTTGAGTTGTTAAGGGCTTCTGGCTAAAATATCTTTAATCAAAGGGCTAATTAATTCAGTGGGTATTTGGGAGAAGGGAGTAGGTGGTGGTTAGGAGCCAGCATAATCAAATTATGCATGTTTTCTGTTTCTGAGAGGATCCTGTGTAATGTGTGCTAATGACCATGAACTTGGAGTCACAGGACCTAGGCTCATGTCTCTACTCTGGCAATCACTAGTTGTGTAACTTTTGCTCTGAATGGTTACTTCATTATCCAATTTTTAAAAGGATAGTTGAAATTTTAGCTAAAATAAAGCATTTGAAAGCATGTGGGCTGTGCTATCCTTAAAAATAAGAAGGGGTAGGAGAAAGAAGAGGAGGACTGAGAAGGGGGATATGTA